TTCTACGATTTATTTTCTACAAATGTTTTGTAGTTTTTTGTTGTTTTGAGAAAATGTAATTAACACATAACTTCCCCACCTGAAAAACTAATTATAACCATAGTTCCAATTTTTTTTTTTAAAAGTGCAAATGAGTAAAAATAAATTATTAAAATCGTAATTAGCACACGATGTCCCCCACCTTTCACTATTATTGCAAAAAAGTCCATACATTTTTATTTATTTACTTTTTTTTTTTTCATTTTTCACTCTTAATATACACATTTGATTGTGCAAATCATAATTTCTATTTTTTTTCATCCAATTTCTCAATAAAAAATTATGAAATGACAAACAAACCCTCTCATCTAAATAAAATAAAAAGGAAAGAATAAATGAAGANAATTATGAAATGACAAATATACCATCATATTTAAATTAAAAACTAAAGAAATAATTGCAACCAGTTCCAAAATTTTTTAAAAAGTGCAAATGAGTCAATTAAATTTATTTAAAAACTAAAAAAATTCAAAAGTACAAACAAGTCCCAAATAAATTATTAAAGAATTAGAAATTAAAAAATATTTAAATATGAGGGTATATTCATTATTTCTCAGTTTTTTTATGGAGCAGTTGGATGAAAATTGATGAAAATGATGGTATGCACAATCAAATATGTAATTAAAGATGAAAATGCCAAAAAAATGAAAGGTGGAGACTTTTTCGCAATAACGATTAAAGATATGAACATTATGTATTAATTACCCTTTTAATAATTTATTTGTGACTCATTTTGCGCTTTTTAAAAAATATTGGAACTATATTTGTAATTAATTTTTTCCTTTTATTTTATTTAAAGAGAATGGTATATTCGTCATTTCACAATTTTTAATTGAGAAAATAGATGAAAATGACGTTTTGCCTAATGAAATGTGGAAATAAGGGTGAAAATGTCAAAAAATGAAAGATGTCAACATTTTCGAAAATAACAATGAAAATTAGGGACACTATGTGCTAATTACACTTTTAACAAACTCTTTTGGGACCAACAAATTATTTATTAGAGGATGCTAATGCTTTATTTCAAAGACGAAATGAATTCCATTCTTGTATCGAAGAGTCCGCACTTAAAGCTTTTGAGTTGTTCATTAATTAAGGGGATGTTTGATGAATATTATCGAAGAAATAATGTATTTTAAATAATGATATGACGAGAAATATGTAATTAAAAAGTAAGGAAAAACTATTGATGTGATGAAAAATATTAATTTATTGAAAAACATGTGGATGAAAATGAGTTTTGAAAAAATGTATTTGGAAAAAAATGTGTGTCAAATAGGGGCTAAGTCAATATTTGGTGAATGTTTGACAACTCCTATGTCTATTTAATCAATCATGCTATAAATACATGAAATATTGACAAAAAGTGTAGACAAACAACATGGTGTAGAGTCATTAAAGATGGAGAGAGAGAAGAAGAAAAAAGGTCGATCATGTACTGTCACACCGACGTTGGTATGAATTTTGTCAACATTTTTATGCACTTACGACATTTTCCCTATTGAACTACAAATGCATAGTGACTGTTCAATTCTGCATTAGGAGCCTGTTTGGTAAAAATTTTTAT